CTTAAGTATTATGTGACATTTAAATATAATTTTACAATCTAACTATACCTAATGCATATACAAAATTTTAATTATAGACGTATTCTCACTAAGTTGCGTTTAGGAGTCCTTGAATTAGAAATTGAAATTGGTAGATGGTCAAAAATTGATAAAAAAGATAGATTATGCAAACATTGTACATTAAATTTAGTTGAAGATGAGTACCATTTTACTTTAATTTACCCTTGTTACACTGATATTCGTAAACATTATATATTTAAGTATTTTATTGTTAATCCATCCAAAGTTAAGTTCACTCAATTAATGTCCACTACTGATATCAATACAATAAGTTGTTTATGTAAATTTCTTTATCACTCATTTAAACGTAGAAGTGATCATTCCCTCTGTAAATAGCAATTATATTTTATTTGGGCCGAAGGCCTTATATAAAAGATGAAATAAATGTCCTTGGTCAGTACGTGCCAAGGAACGGAAACGTACGATGTGCCTGTCACGCTGACAACCTACAGTGGCGGATCCATGAATTCAAAATACTGTAGAGAGCAGAGGGGCCTATAAGGAAGCACAGATGGAGGGTCTAAAATATGGTATGCCTGAGGTAAGAAAATTATGAAGTTATGGTACCTCTGGATGACCAGCAATGGCACTCTCAGACTTAAATTCAATAATTTTCTCCAATATATTTATTTATAATTTAAAAATAGGGGGGTCCCCCTTGAATCCGCCACAGACCTATGTACAGTCAGTGTATTGAATGTTGTAAGATGCGGTCTTCCAATGTCATGGTCATGGGTTCAATTCCTGTCACTATCAGGATTTGTTTTCTCAAAGCAGAAACATCCCCACTCTCTAAGCCTAATAAATAGTGTATGTTTGTCTTCTGAAGGGATTGCCACTTAGCAGTCGGATTTCCCCGACAAATGTGGGGGTGGGAGGGGAAGGGGTTGACCATGTCCTCTATGAGAGCAAAGTGGACGTCATGCGTCGCTTAACATCTTCCGAATCGAAAATATGAAGATTTATGGGTTTCAAATTCTTTTTTTATCTACTAAAATGTTCTTATAATATGTTTCAAATATTAAGATTCAAAATGTATTTTGTAGAAAATATAAAATAAATATGGCCCCAAAAATGTAATTATATTTTTTTCATTTGCTGATTTGTTTTAAAGCGGATATTAACACATCTTGACATTTAAAGCAAATAAAACCATGAATTTTGAATTTTGAACATTTAGTCCTTGGTTTTGTCATGTTAATATGAATCAGTGAATTTGATCAATGCAATGAACTAAAATTGATTAAAACTGCATGCCACCGAAAATATATATTATAATGGAATTAAATGCCAAATGTTCGAGCATACATAATACGGTACCATTCCTACAGATTTTACATCCGTCATAAAATTATATTAGCGAAACGTCTGTAAATCGAGGTAGGATTAGCGGTAGAGCTGGGAGAAGCGTTACGGTACTTGTGTGTGTCTCGCGAACCGATGCTAATGATTTTGTTGGTGGTGCCCTTGTCTTACTATAAAATACGACTGCTTGACTAGTCCAGATCCCTATAATTTGCCGATCTTCAACATTTTGGAAGTTCATTTTATGTGGTTTGGTACTAAAATGAGTAATTAACAGTTTATAATCTGTTTGGATCCTCTAAACTACAATAAGCCTTTATCAATAGTCATACAAATTCCTTTACATTTCTGTATCAACTTATAAATACATGCCCTCTCATTCATTGACCAAGTATGTTCAACTCACCAAACACAGGAGAAATCTTTATGTGGAATCGCAAGAGCTAATTTATAAGATATATGCTTACATCTTGCACTACCTTTCCATGCGTCTACTAACGTTCTTGTATGCCTTCCCTTTTTTTTTTTCAAAAGCAACTATACCTTGTATTATAATATAGTAGGCTGTTTCATGAGGTACTTCCTCAATCATCATGTGCTAGGCTCTGAATGAGACTGCAGAATAACAATCATGCATGGTGGAACTTTTAATTGCTATATAGATTATATTGGTATATAGTTTATTGGTAAACAGGTTAATTAGTATACTCATTATTATTCATAGAGGAGATTTGAAGCTCTGTATTGTATAGGCCTATGTATATTGGTACCGCAGTAGAAATTTTCTTCTATGCCTACATGCACTAATCAATTCATTCCTACGGTTAAGTCAGCTTAATTCAGGGTTACATATAATAAAATATTTCTCGAGCAAACACAGATTACAGCGTTTACTGATATTGGAGTATGGTTTGCATTTACCTAATATTTTCCAATTTCATATTTTATAATATCGGCTTTAAGTTTCCAAATGTATTGGCTAAGTGCCGTACTGTTTTTGTACTTTTCATTACGGAATGAGCTAGTATGTCCATTATATCTGCCCTTAAAGGTGTTTTCTGTCAGTCCGACAAAGTTTCTATTTTGTTGTCGTCTTGGCGTATGACTGTGGCTTGATATACAACTCCTTTGGTTAGGCACTTGTTGGATAGGTGGCACACGTCGCGACAATTGCATTCTTTGACGTCATTATCTGTGCGGATTGTGGTATTATTAAGTACTGATTTGTTGTGTGCAGAGATTATTGAACCCATATTCGGCATACAACTGTAATTATCTTGATAGTGTTTCGGTTAAATATTTTCCTTAGTGCATGGTTGGGTGGGAAGCATTCATCCACAATTTCTAAGAATTCATGTCCAATTCTTGTCTTTACGTTATTGCTGTATGGAGGGTAGAACCAGGTGATGTTCCTTTTTCGTTTCCAGAAGCTGAGGATCCGGGTACCTCATGAAACAGCCTGTAGTGCAATAAAATGTTGAGTTTGTAACCAAGTGTCATCTTGTTTTGATTTTATATGTATATATATATACACATGTATATATACACATACATACATGGACCTGGTATAACTTGGCAATTAGTACTTGGCAAGTTCCCTACTACCAGGATGCACGAGGTTATTCACACACCTATAGGTTATAGCTATAGCACAAGATTGGACATTCAATTTTGCAATAGTGTATGTGTTTTTAAACATTTTTATGTGTATTCTTTTTATTTACGTTCATTTATTTTGTTTTATATTTATATTTTTAACTGACAAATAATGGCAGAACTAAATAAATCAATTATTTATTATCAATTAGTGTTTTTCTTTGTGTATTGAAAATGCTACGGCGACGATAATTTCGCAAAATTCCCAACCGCAACTCAGGCACCGTCGGGGCCAGGTTGAGACTTCACACTAAAAGGCCCGGTAATTAATCATGCAGACGAGGCCTGGCATCGCCCGTACGTCGCTGTACTGCAGTGGATAAACGCCCGATTACAGTATGTTGCTTATAACATGGACGTGCCTTACATTTTGTTTTCCCCTCCGCGAGCCTCGAGGTTAACAGGTGAGACATTCTTCCCGTCCTCCATTTATGAATTTAAATAATGAACAGCCTTTCAATTTAATGAACAAAAAGCATATCAATAAAATACGTGGCTTGTAATATGAACAAGCGTGTACATTTCAACAACACTAACAACATGATGAATGTTAAAAAAAACATGATAGTCAATCGATACCAGGATATCAGAAGTCAAATCATTATAAAATGTGTATCACCCACCAGTATAAAATTAACCGCTATTGAAATAAAGAAAAATCAACCACAATGCAACATTGAGAATAGGCCTACTGGTCACTTCGGCCCAAAACCAAATCGTCGGCCCAAACCAATTCGGCCCAACCAACTCGGACCAAAACCAACTTGGCCCCAAACGATACTTCCATACTATTTATATACAGTCCGGGCGTCGAGAGCCAGTAAGGGCCCCGGAACAACACCTCCATGCCCCCCCCCCCCCCTTCACTTGGGACCCCCACTCGGCCGCTCCCCAAGTTAAGTCTCCTCCTAAATCTGACAACAAAAGTTTACATCTTGGCTTGAGCTCGGGCCCTATGGAGATTTTATTCTTACCCCGACATTTTTTCATCTTGGTCCGGGCCCCTCCAGTAGACCCAGGCCCCGGGGCAGCGACCCCCGTGACCCCCCTCTCGACGCCACTGTCTATATACGATATTGATTTAGGCCTATTCAAGACAGCAGGTTAAAATAGTTAGGTGGTCCCTGTGTTGTGAAGTGAATAGTTGACTTTTATTGTCAGTTTTTGCAAGGTGCTAGGCCTACCTTCATCGAAAAACATATTGAGTGTTGCCAATCTGAAAAACAGTTAACCAAAAAAATATTTACCAGAAATAACAGTAGTACATCTGTTTAATTCCAAAGTGTTTTATTTATTGGAAAAAAAAAAAAATCCCTGCTGGAGCAGCCATTCTATGAATAACAGTAGGCCTACCGTTTACTTTAAAACTTTTCCGTCGTGAAGGGGAAAAAAAAGAACTGTGTATGTCCAGTTTGAATTAAATGTACCTGAATAAATCCGTATATTCGTGTATTTTGATTTGCTTTATATTCATACAAATATACATTATTTTATAAAGGTATTAAAAATAATTAGTGGGACTAGTAATTTGGGTAATGGGTAATCGCATGTCGCTATTCATCTGGGTAATTCCGTATCATTTAGGTAGTTGTCTTCTGGGCCGAGTTGGTTTTGGTCCGAGTTGGTTTGGGGCCGAGTTGGTTTTAGGCCGAAGTGTCGTCTGGCGCCGAGTTGGTTTTGGTCCGAGTTGGTTTGGGCCGAATTGGTTTGGGCCGATTTGGTTTTGGGCCGAAGTGACCTGCTACATCATTGATCATTTTAAAAGGTATAGGAAGTACAATCATACATTGTTTCATATGAACCTTTATGCAATTACAAAACTTGATATAAGCATGTATGAGCTCGACCTTCACGAAAACCAAAGACGAGGAAATTATTTTATGGACACAACATCGGAAACGATATAATTAGGCCTGTATCAACTTATCCAAAATTGTATCGCTCTGATCAACTGTTAACCATTGCATTGCTAGTGTTTTCAGATCCATTATCTGGTTTCGTTAATTATACACGAAGGATTAATGTTGCCATCCAAATCATCGTTCAAATATCGGTTTTTGTCACGGAGGAATTTGATCTAGTTTAGGATTAATTAGGAACACAAGGGATGCTCCACACTAATTGATTGATTTAAAGTCATTAGTATAATAATTATATGTAAAAACCCTACATGTAACATTTCGCACTTCGCTTTTGGTTCAAATCACGTACAATAAGATGCTTTGAAAGTTATCAATATCAGATAATAGTATATATATATATGCACAATAATTGCCTTTTTTTAAACTGTCACTCTTCTCCATTGAGGATATATAATGGTGGTTTGTCATTAAGACACATTCACTTATCTTCTCCCCGTCTCCGCATGTTGGGAGGGAGAGCCCGAACTACAACTGTTTTTATCTGAGATCTGCTAAAAAATAATACAGTTGTGTTTTTTCTTTTGTAAGGATTTTGCCCACCTTTATTTCTTTCTCTTTTTGTTACCATTTTATGTTTTTCGCTAGTATTTGGGACGTACTGAGTATTCGGTATACATATCACGTCAGGTAGGGCAAAACATCACTCCTATGATTATTTCCTAACGCAAACTTCATATCTTCATTTTATGTTTTGTCATCAAAGATATGTAATAGCAAATAACATATATAAAATAACAAAAAAACATATATAAAAAATTAAAACTTAATTGCACTTAAGAGGTCAGTCCACCATGGCTGACTGTAATCTTTAAATAATTTCTAAGTAATATACTTTTTTTTCTTTAAAGACACATTGTCAATACTGTATTTTCAAAGTAAATATATCCACAGCATAGAATCAGTCCATCATGGCTGACTATATTGTTTCTTAATATTGTTCTTTTTATATATACATATATAAGTATATACACACATACATACTTACACATAAAAACCAATTATCATATACATACATATACTTTTTTTTTTACTTTCGTGGAAATTACACCCGTTTTTTTTAATGTATAAATATATACTTACCACAGGGTCAGTCCATCATGGCTGTTCATTGTTTCTTTAAATTGTTTCTTTTATAAATATAAATATATGTAAACATACACACCGTACATGGATAATAGAGATTAGATGTACTGTACCAACATTATTTGATGTGTTAGAATACTGTTAAAATGATTTCTTGAAGGTTTGTGTTAAAATTGTCAAGGTGATAAACAGTAACCAGGGCATTTTGTGTCAATTTATATAATAGGATGCTAAGATGGTTATTTTCACAATTTGACCCTCACTTCCTCCAATTAGTTATCACTTATCTGCGGACCTGAATGAATGCCTATTTATAATTAGCCGTTCTTTCCAATTAAAATACCCCCATTATATTTATAGACAAAGAAAATGGTTCGGACTGACACTACTAAACGTTCTTGTTCAATATTAATGAATTCTGTCAACAAATTTTTATTACAAATGAAGTGAGTACATTGAAGCAGATGCTTCAACGACAATTAAGGCTCCTCAGCCTTGTAATAGTTGTAAAAAAATGGATATTGCATCAACAACATTACAATCATGAAAATCTGTTCGTGTTGTATATACATAATCCTTTATCACCCTCCACTGTGGCCATTTTCCGTGCTGGATCGTCTTTGAACTATGTACTATCCATAGGGTTAGATCTCTCCACATCCACATAGGCCTAACCAATTTAGTCGTAGTTCGATTCTCCGAGCTTTCAGTTATTTCTCATGGTTTTTTTTTACTTCATAACATTTTTTAATGATTTTTTGTTTTTAATTTATGATTTCCAAATCAGTTCACATTATGTCAATTAGTTGTACTTCTCTTATTTTGTATGTAGGGCCTATTATTTTTGTGTTATGCAATCGAAAAAATTAAATAAAGTGAAGAAAGGAACTTCACCGTTAGAAAATGTGAAGTCTCCCCGGCATACCGACGGGTGTCTGATGGCAATGTTCATCAATTTTTAAAGATTTACGGCTGTATCGCCGTCGAATCTGACAGTGACCAGATTGGAGAGCATGATGCATTGTTTACCTATAAAATAGGTAAATAGGTGGAATAATCGTGTGTGTACTAATTAAGAGCACTTCCATCCTCATGCATTAAACCGTTTTAAAAACAATGTAATATAACGCTGACGAACTTTCAAACACCACTGAATCAAATTACATTTTATTAGGTACTGGTTCGTATTATTAGTAATTGCAATTGTGTTCATGCGTACACTTAATGAAATATTCAATTCAAACACTTTTTTATTGGCACGCATTTAAAATTCGTTTTGGAGGCAAGCAAGCTTTTCTTTGTTTAGAAGTATCATAACCTTATAGTTCATAAATAGGAACGATGATGTAAAATAATAATAATAATAATAATAATAATAATAAAAATAATTTTAAAAAAATAATAAAAATAATAATAATAATAATTCACCACATAGTATAAATTTTCACCATGGAAACTAAAGTTTTAGTTTTTCTAAAGGGTCAATGCACTCTGTTGTAGTCTAAAGGGCCAATACACTCTTTAATAGAGAACCTTACAAAATAGCCGAAAAATATCGAGAGACGACTAATTTTAATGGTGATATGATGAGTATGGTCCTGACTGAAAGCGAAATTGGGGACAATAACTTTTCCTAAAAGAAAATGTAAATTAGCGTGTAGTGCGGTTGACCTATCACATATTTCTATTAAATGACGAAATACGTCACATATCCTTCTGTGAGCCCTCAAATGTATCTAATCACTTGGCGCTTATTAATGCCATCAATGGTCCATAATTAATAATATAAGAAAGGCTGTAAAGACTCTTTCTCAAGGGAATTATCCAGAAATAGATCTATGCCAGCTACTTATCATTAAAGGCGATAATATTAGTCTTCATGCGCGTTGAGACTTCCATATAAAGCGCTATATAATTAAATCTATAAATTGGGTTCTCAATTTTAAGCCCACGCAGTTGTTCCAAAATTATTGTTTGATAGCATAAAAACGTTACATATTTTGCTGTTGTTACGTTGACACTGGCAGAGTTAGGCAGGGGTGGCGCCAGTGAAGAATGGGCCGGGTACTCGATCGAATCGATTAAGTATTTCAAATCCATATTAAAACTTCATGCATTTTGGGGGCGTCTGCCCTCCGGAGTCCTCTTCAGGGATCCTCGAGCAATACTGACACCGCCTATTTACGGATAATTTATTTCGAAATTAAGTATTGAATGAATAAATAGATTTTAACTCCAACATCATTATCATATTGTACATCTATACATTGACTCCTTGATCTGTTGTTTTAAGCAGTCGTATGGTCTCTAAGCCAATACGATATTGGAGGAAATCTTTCTAAGTTGTTTTCTGTTATTAACGTCTTAGGTGTCAATTATAAATGCCACCATGATACACAGGAATTAACCAAACGGACAGACTGTTCACAATGATGTAAACCCCATTAAAATACGATGAGAGAAAGGTTGTGTATTGATGGTTAAATCCAAAATATAGTATCAGCTATTAAATCTGATAGACAGCGGCGAGTTTAATTCCGTGAGGGAAATTAGCTCCAGAATAATTCCATCAATCATCAATCACTTAAGCCATCAATATTTTACTCGATTGCAAAAACAACTAATGCATTCAAAAGTTGTCGACCTATCCCCCATGCTTCTCTGATGCTACTAATAGTTTAATAGACTCGATATACGGAAGATTTATATTCAAAAGTTGTCGACCTATCCCTCTATACTGATAAGGTTTATATTCACATAACCGAGACAATCACCAGCTGCTTAATCGATTTACTTGGGAAAATGTATACAGACCTATATATTCTCTGAATGTTTATCCACTAATACAAAATAAGTTAAGGTACATGACATGCACAGAACGGAGCAAGAAAAAAAAAACTTGATCCTCAAAGGTGTGTTCCCGTGTGTTCATAGACCAAAAACAATATAGACATCTAATGACCACAGCAACAAAATACGTTTTCAAAATTTCTTCAAGACATTCCTGACTGAAACGATTTACCACAACACCCACTCTCGATTCTAAGCATATGGCTTGTCCATAGATTACCAATGATGGGTCCAGCTTTTGAAACAATCGACAAAGTAATTTGTGTATTTGTTTAGGTTTGTAATAACGCGATATTTATGCTTATTTTAATCTCTTTTCAGTTAATGTTATTAATATTAAAGTCCTTTGTGAATTTTGATTTCCAGAGGTGACGCAATGTTTTGTAAAACCAAGTACCTTTAATAGTGATTTAGTTTACTTTTTTGGAATCCTCTTCTCTTCCCTGCTTTCCCCTTCTGTCTTGTGGTTTTCGTTTCGCATTACATCTTTTTTATTCTATCATTGACAAGAAAATAAATGGAATGAAAACATTAAGTAAAAAATTGTGGTAGTTGAGACTACATCTAATCTGCTATTCCTTCCCTTACTCAAGTCTTTAGTTACATTTCTCTTCCAGATTAAACCAGAACGATGCTCGACTGATGAAAACCCCCGTACTCTCATGAAAACGACCAAACTCTCATGAAAACGACCAAAACGAAGTTCATCAGAAATTTCAAATTTTTTCAAAAGATCAGTCTGCAGACTTTTTTTTCTGGCAGTCGGTTCTATAAAGATAATTTCTCAAAATAACGAATGCCAATAAGAGAAGTAATAAAAGTTAATATAAACCCACTGTAAAAACAAAAACATATAGGCCTAAGTGAAATAGACTTCATAGGTTATGGAACACAGGTCACTCAGGATATTGGGAGAACTGCTCATTTTGGAGTACCAGATGTTCAATTAAAACTAGGATTTCGTAGGATATTGGTTTCATATGATGTATTAATATTTTTATAATCATTTTATTGTCGCCCTCCATGTGCTTGATTTGTTCAAGCCGTGATCAGCTTATAATTATCATTCTATGTAATTTTTATATATTAAAAATAAAGCATGATTTTACAACTTGTAAACTGTTTCGCATACACCATGCACTGCGAATACCGTCAGTCAAACATCCCTATCTGGCTTAAAACAAACAAGGTATCTTTAAACTTAAAACATAGGCATACATGCCTATGCTTGTTAGAAAAAAACAGTAACCGCTCATATCAAAATATTGGTAGTATTAAGTCTGAAAATATCCCAATCAATGAAGATTGGTTGTGGATTCCCACATCAGTTTTCTGAAAGCCATGATCATCATTACCATCTGCGTAAACAACATGTATTTTATCATGTATATATGTATATTGTTTAGGCCATGTCCGTATACTTATTTTGCATTGTCATGTATATTTTAGTCATTAACGGTTTAATGATTGGAGCATGAATACCTTGCTGGCATGAAGTCACTCGCACGCCAAATGCAATATAACATGCGAGGCCACAGCTCCTTGTAGCATTAATGTGTCATTGTGTTTCAAATTGAGAAAAAACAAAACAAAACAAAACAAAACAAAACAAAACAAAAAAACGAAACAAGAGTAATAATGTTATCTCGTTTTTTAGATTAAATAAATCGTACAATTTGCCTTGAGCACCATTGGTGCGCTTTATAAATCTTATAATGACTTATAATGCCGCGTAGAATCACTTCCGAAGAGTAATCTATTCTGCAATCGATCAATACTTTAAATCTTAAGTGAACGCGACAGCTAGATTTATTGATTACAATAAACCCCAAAATACCTCATATTTACTTGTCTACCTTGATGCGATGACGTAATAACGACTTCCATATCGCTTCGATATGGATTTTATGAAAGAAATATAGCGGCATTAAATTTTGAGCACTTAAGAGATGCAAAATACAAACGATGTCAACAACTCCTTGTCCGTAACCATCAGTATCAATGCATTGAAATATTACTTTCATTTTCATTTTGTTGATAGAATGTTACCGAGGAATAAAACAGCTAATTCACATGCATCAAAAATAATGATTGCTAAAACTACTGTATTTTAGTGTTCATTAGAAATAATTAATAAATACGAGTTTGAATTATAGGCCTAGAGAGAAAATGTTTAAAAGCCGTTCACTCTTAGACTTAAATTTGAGTAGAAATTTCTATTTTTCTCAATTTTTTGTTAAATTTAAAAAAATGTAGGAGGTGGGGACCGGGCCTCTCCTTTAATCCGCCAATGGTTCATATTAATTCAGTATTTATTTCACAATCGAATCTCTTATATGTATATTGACGATCAAGGGTCCAAGCCTTTTATAATTATTAATTAATAACGTAAAGAATTTACGTTTAGAGTAGTATTTTTTAGAATTTAGAGTAGTAGAAGTCATGAAAATATTCATAAAAAAAGAATTAGAAGGGATTTACCAGCTTTCATCGATAAACGGTCAGCTTTATTTACAATTCTCGTGGGAAAAACACATGAATGATGAATGTATACGTTTAATAATTTTTATTCATTTATTTTTTTTATATTATTTTTTACCTAGTTATCCCGGGACCCTGCCGGGCCCAGGCCACGGGGCACTTGCCACGGTTGCCCCGGCGTCTCGGCGCCATTGTCTATCTGTGCAAGAACCTCCCTCGGTCCCTCTATTTCGACTTCCTGGACCCGCCACTGTTGAAGTACCATTTTCAGGCTCCTAGGTTTCGTCGGGGAAAACCATCATTATCAAGGATCCCTCACACTTAATAATTGTTAAGTGTTCGTGGAAGCCATCTCGACTTCGGCTTTGTTCGGAATATACAACAATTATAAAGTCATTTTACATTAGCTTGATGCCTATAAAATAACTAATACAATTCACCAAATTTCGTAAAATATCCGTAACTTCCAAGGGCCTTCGACTCCTGGACTTCCACCGGGGGGGCCTTGGCGGCCCCCTGGCATCAGCCCAGAAGCTCGCTTCTCTCGCATACTGGCTTGATTACCTTATGAAATGGCCCCACTTTTAAAAACGTTCCGCTGCTGTTTGTTGTGTACAATACTGCAATAATTATAACTAATTAGTAATCAGGAAGTGGATATGACACAATTACAGTCACCGCATACTGAAATTACTTAATTAGTATTGTAATCAGGAAGGGAATTGGACTTCTTTATACTACAGTAGTTTATTGATTATAGGGGTGTTATTCGCTATAGTAGTGTACGTTGGCTTGTGTGCCCGCAATTTTCCCAGAGTAAACATGGATTGGTTAAAAAAACATAGTACTGAATTTGTATATGTTTGTTGTATGTAATTTACTGGTGTTGAGATGCTATTTGGACTTCTGTATACTACAGTAGTTTATTGATTATAACTGTGATATCTTTGATTGAAAAAGAATTTCCTTCTATGCCTGGATAATGGTTCATTTTTACTATATTGAACCAACAGCTTAGGGTGACATAATAGATGTCTTATATAAGCTATATAAAAGCAGATACAAAATTAAAACAATTGAGCTTGACATTATAGACATAAGATGTATAAATAAATATAATTTCTATGTCAACGTATATGCATATTATTGTTTTACTTTTGTATATGCTTTTATTTATATATGAGACATACGTGGAACTACATCCGAATTTACATGTATATATTCTGTCTCTTATTTTGGGCTGTCTCTTATACACATCTAGATGTGTATAAGAGACAGTATAATATACATATAATTCATCATCGTAATTTCTAAACGTCTGACTGCTGTCGTGTACTCTGTTAACATACTGTGTATTTAATTTCAGGTAAATTTCAATTTCAACTGACAGAGTTCACTCCATGAGGAAAACGACGACACGATAAGAATGACATAACTGTGTAAATGAATATATTTTGTAATCTGCAACAATTCTCTTGAGAAAATAGATGTACTGATACGCAATATTAAAATATTGCCACAATGAATAGTACAATTTGCAAACAGGATACGGAAAGAACAGATATTGCCATTATTATTTGCGCTGTTTATCTCCTAACTACAGCTATCCTGTCAATTGTTGGCAACCTCATTGTCTTGTTGGCAATTCACAACTCCACACGACTGCGAGAACAGCCTTCGAGCGTATTCGTGGCGAATTTGAGTATATGTGACTTACTGAATGCCGTCTTTGTAATATTACCAACAACATGCTTTATCATCAAAGACAACGCATCTGTACCCAATGCCTTTTGCAATATACAGTGTGCATTAAATTATGTTTTCATAATCGTATCTATGCTTTCCCTAGCAATGATTGCCGTGGAGCGATGGGTCTCTGTGTCGTCACCTTTCAAACACATGGACATAATGCGCAATCGCACTGTCATGCTTATGACCTCATGTACATGGATACAGGGGCTGGCCTTTGGGTGTGTGCCGATCATATGCTCATGGGTTATGTATGACTACTGGGAGGCAGTATGTGCAATTACCTGGGATGCCCATGCCGATTCTGGTGGGGTGGAGTACGTCGTAACAGCATTTATTCTTTGCTTTGCTGTGCCATCCGTTCTAATGATCGCTTGTTATGGAAAGATTCTTGCCATAGTCCAACGGAAAGACACTCATAGACACCGCTTACAACAGAAACGTAACGAAGATATGCGAATCATAAAGAGTATACTTGCCGTAGTCATCGTATTCTTTGTTTGTATGACGCCATTTTGTATCACAAAGCTTATTAAAATATTCTTTTCAACTTGTTCCATCCCATCGTGGGTGAATTTGTTCTCAAGTCTAGCACAATTCACATCAAGTGCTACCAATCCCTGGATATATGGTGTCTTCAGAGAGGACTTCCGTTATGCCGTTAGAAAAACATTCTGGAAGCTATATTCCGCGGTGCCTTGCGGATCAGGCGACTTAGTGAGACCGGTATCCCAGCCTAGCTCCTTCATATGAGGTTCATTTATATGCTAAACATCATGTGACCCGTCCCAACTTCTCTGTTTTTGCGACTTAATAGATCTGACAAAAAATTAAAATAAAATGGCACCGTGGCCGTACCATGAACTGCAGAAATTCTAGTCTGTAGATTTAGAAAAGCAAGGGCTTGTTTACCGGGGAGTCACATACTCTCTTCAAAGTTAGGTCTACTTCCCAAATTAATTAGACCCATTCATATTATGTATCTATCATTTTATTCCGCAGGCGTAAATAGGTTCTTTTTAAAGTGGCTGATCTAGAATTTAGCAATGGGGTGGGGGTGATGTGGGGTGGATAATGTGAAGTGAGAAGGCACGAGCGGGGTGAGGGGGGTTGTTTTGGGAGGAGCATCCCATTACATTTGAGATTTTTTTTGGAATTAGTAGACTGCTAGACGATCTCAGGTGGCACCTGAAAAGAAGTAACTTAGCTTAAAATAGAAAGTATATGTTTTACCAGAGTACACGAGAAGCACACAAACAAGACGAGTGACCATTATTTTATTTTTCACGGTAAACGAAGAGGGATGGCTAGCCACCCTATTCACCCCCCAACCACAAGATCCGTCACTGTAAAGGAACTAGACACACACGCTTACCTTTCACATGATACTGCAGGTGAATATTTGGTGTGAATTCCCGTCAAAGGTCTACTTCCCAAATTAATTAGACCCATTCATATTATGTATCTATCATTTTATTCCGCAGGCGTAAATAGGTTCTTTTTAAAGTGGCTGATCTAGAATTTAGCAATGGGGTGGGGGTGATGTGGGGTGGATAATGTGAAGTGAGAAGGCACGAGCGGGGTGAGGGGGGTTGTTTTGGGAGGAGCATCCCATTACATTTGAGATTTTTTTTGGAATTAGTAGACTGCTAGACGATCTCAGGTGGCACCTGAAAAGAAGTAACTTAGCTTAAAATAGAAAGTATATGTTTTACCAGAGTACACGAGAAGCACACAAACAAGACGAGTGACCATTATTTTATTTTTCACGGTAAACGAAGAGGGATGGCTAGCCACCCTATTCAACCCCACCCACAAGATCCGTCACTGTAAAGGAACTAGACATACACGCTTACCTTTCACATGATACTGCAGGTGAATCTTTGGTGTGAATTCCCGTCGAATTTAAGCGTTTGAAGATCTATAGGCCTAGCATGTATTTAGATTCCGTAAATGCTTTTGACTCCCCGGAATATTTTTATTCTACAAAATAGTGTTCATCATGCATTCAACATCACAATTTCATGTAATTCCTTGTATCACTTTTACCCAAAATAACATGTGGTAAACTTTTGAAATCGTTAAATCTGTTAATTAGGCCTAGTAAAGTTTTAAAAGAGCAACATCCTACCATGCTACCTTTAGAATGATTTACAAAAAAAAAGCAATTCATAATACTTTTTGCATTTAAATTTATAGCGTATATTCGTCGTGTCTACTCATATCACTGTCGGACGATCACACCCGTCAGCCTGAACCTGTGTGGTTAGTGATATTTAAGAAAGGTTAAAACTCCGATCAAGAAGGCTATTCGTGAAAGGATTTGCACCAAACGAGCGTCTGTAAAACGAGGGGTTCGTGTATTTTGTCAATAATTTCGTATCCTTAATTACGAAATATCACGGTATTACGAAGCATTTATCATGTGAATGGAATTACTAACGTGGATAATCGGAGAAAACGACTCCTAGATTACACAAGAAAATTTAATGAAACATTGTAATAAGTTATTTTGCGTTAATGATTGAGGTATTCCATCAGATGATGGAGTTTTGTTAACGGTGCAATAGACGCATGCCAGTGTATATCAACAAGGGTTCAGGAATTTTAATAGTTGATTATTAAATAAGGCCTACTATTAGTATTACACCATCTGTATCCTTATCGATATCATTATGATAATGATATATAAGTATTATTTTAATAAAACTTCATCGGTTTTCAAAGTTAATTTTAATCAATTTCCTTAATATTAAAACCAGTATACTTTGTTTGTTGTAAATAGTTTCGCTAACTACCAATAAACTTAGTGAGTACGATTGTTGCTTGGTTGTTGCTACTTTCTTCAGTACATGTGTTCTGTTATTATTATTACTTTCATTATTTTTTATCATCATCAATATCCTTCCTCATTACCACCATCATGCAACAGTACTATCATCATTAATTCTAGACTATTTTAAAGATTTGAGAAGGTTTAAGCTAATAATAGAGAAAAAGTATTGTTTATAATGTCTTAAAATCTAAAATAGGCCTATTTATTAATGGTTTTATTTATAAATAATTGTTTATTTGTCACTAAAATGTTTATTGATAGCTTTATAATGCAGTAATTTTCATATAACAATAGTAGGTATAGGCCGCATTCAAGTTTCATTAGGTTTACAGTATTAACTTACCACAATTACTTGTAACTATTAATAAACCCACCACGACATGAGCATGTATAAGCGATTTTCGCTTAACAATGTTATACGATTATTATTATTATAATTTTTAACATTTACTATTTAAAATTTCAATTTAGAATCCACGTGGAAAGTGTATATTGATTCCTTTGAATATTGAACACTTTTGACTAATTAATATGAGTTTTTACTGGTATCTAGTTATAGTTTATATCGGCTTATTTGTATGTAGTCGAGCAGTATGACTGTGTGAATATAAAACAAGCGAACCCGAATGTTAAAAATTACACTTTCGATGAGTGCAATCATTATTACGAATGACTATAGATTTTATGTTGGAATTATAATGTTATAATGATCAAATTATTCAGCATTAAATAGTAATGTACTATATTTTCCAGTTAAATGCATGGTGCTACTTATTATATTTAGAGGTGAGTCCATATCGTGTTTTTACTGAGACTATATGACTCAACATGACTTACCGGTACACTAGTATATACCCTCAGGCTATGGTTTTCGATGTTACTGAATATTACAGTCTTCTCTGAATACCTCTAGCCTAGAGTTACTGGCTACTTGTCTTGTTAGATTACTGAAATAATTAGTCCTCTTTGATTACTTATAGCTTATAATCTGCAAGAATCTCCCTCCTTGTCCTTCGAGCTATTCTGGCGAAAGCATGCTTCTGGTAGGGTCACCCAAGTCAGACAGGTCTAAGGGCGTGCATATAAGGGCATTTTGAGCAGATAAATTCCAGGTTGTCAGAGATATACCAATGTCTGCTAACTGGCACCGCCACCGAGGCTTACCTAAGGTGATGAGGGTGGATGGACACCATCTGAACTAAGAACAAAATGACTTTAGGGCGGATGAACCTTCAACATCGTAAAAAACATAATAATGGTAATAATAATATCGATTTCTAAAGCGCAAACATCACCACCAAAATTGGTGCTCAAGACGCAGTGTCAAACAACGGGCAGAGAACAAACAGGAATCACGAACATCAACGGCCATCCATTAAACAAAATAAATGTAGCTGGGGTCCCAACAGGCATATGAACTCAGCACTGCCGACTCCTGTGGCAGCTTACGCATCCAGAGTGAGACGAAATTGGTACTGCCTCTTCTCTGGTTAGTTGGATACTGGAGAGAAACCTTTGATCATTGACAAGACCAACCAACGTGACCAGTATGAACGCCCAAGATTACGATTTAAGGATGTCTTGAAAAGAGACTTGGATGAATTTGGAATACAAACCATCATTTTGCCACAGTTGGCAAACAATCGCTCCAGCTGGAGCTCCATGCTGCAAAATGGGATAAAACACGATCATCAACAAACAAACATCATCATGATGAGGAAAATGCTTCCGTCATGAATGTGCTTTAATTGACATTGTCGTTCGCGACAGACGTCTGCCAACACATGCATTCGTATGCGTTAATGTTGTTTTTCCTTTATCAAGAAATACAAAAACAAAAATCACCATAACAAAATGTGAGTAGAAGTAATGTTCTAATGAACATGTGAGCTGTCATGTGCTAAGCTTAAAAAATAATTGTCAAGAACTATTGATTGATTAAGATAACAGACGTATTCTTATTGTACAGATAAATGACGTTTAAAATGAAAAAAAAAAAAGTACAGATAAATGGCGTTTAAAAAAAAAAAAAAAAAAAAAAAAAAACACATAAGAAGCCTTACACATAACTTGCCGTATTTCACCTGCCTCTTAATACCATATTGATTATTTTTTGGGTAAGATTTTTTTCACTTATAATTGCGTCAAGTACACGAGTTTCATCTGCCGTGTTTGCTGCCAGTAACAATATACAAATTCATAATTTGAATATCTAATTCATATTATTGAAGTTACCGTACAAGATGACAAAATCACGCAAGAGAATGAGTAACTTGACGATCAATATCCTGATTAAGCTTAGGGGTCGTTCTACATTTCAAAGAGTACCGGTACGCTAGGGGAAGGAACTTAGGAAGTAGACAAATTTGTACACTTTTACATGCATAAAAATTGATTCAAAATAACATGCAATATGTAAAATAATGGTGAAATTATAATCCTTATATCGTATTTAAGCAACCAAGTAAATTGCTTTATTTGACGAAACAAAAAATGGAGAATGGTTTGTCTAAAATCAACATTTTTTGTACACTTTCAGAGTGGAGGGGTACCGAAAAAGAGTACTGTTTGTACACTTGTGAAAATGTTGATAATTGTGAACCAACGACCCCTTAAACGCTTGAACCCTCAAAGTACATACCCCTTAAACGCTTGAACCCTCAAAGTACATTTTCATTTGCTTCTTTCTAACATACTGGGTGTGCTCATCATTAAATTTATTAACCTATAGAGTATGTTACTGAATAATAGTCACATATCTGAGTCGGGGCCAAAACGGGGTCAGTGCATTGCTCCAAAGGTCCGTTGGTCTGAAATTAAATTATTTGAAATATGGACAAAAAATATAAAACAAGTAAACACATGATAGACCTATATTAGCTAACAGTAACAATAAAAAAATATTGATTGTTGCAAGATGCTCAACTCTGCAACATCCTATGAGCAAACAATTCATTTGACGCGAGATAGGCCTATAATATAAGCTTATTATTAGACTTCGTGAAGAGATAATAACACATTTTAGGCTACTTCCGCGCAGGTTCAACGTCAACTGGCCCATGTTTCAGCGGCTTAGTTCGTTAGTTTTGTTACGTAAATGAGTTAGGCATAAATAGGCCTATGTTTATTTATTTGTAACAATCCTTTTTTAAAACGTAATTTTAAGACTTTTTACATGTAGGGCCTAACTTTTGTTTATTATACATTACAGTACTAGACTATTTGCGAAACATGATTTTTGTGTATATTATATGAAATTAATAAAGCTGCATAGGCAGAATGGCAAAATTAAATAAACAAATAAAACGGTTTTAATCTAACGTAGTAGAAATTGGCAAACAAAATCAAATAAATATAGAGTTGCTGCATAGACAGATTTGTATATATAAAATAAGAAGTCAAACGAAGTTCTGTATCTGTCTCAAAAATAAAATATTTATTGTACTAGTACTTTCGACCATAGGTCATCATCAGGTACTCAAGACTTCGTGAAGAGATAATAACACATTTTAGGCTACTTCCGCGCAGGTTCAACGTCAACTGGTACAGTACCGTATGTTCCAAAAATAAAGAATCACTCAAGGAAGCAGATAAAAAACGCATTCAGTTGTTAAGAACGTCCCTAAATTAAAGGCGACCAAAGAGCCCAGCTGACATAGCAATTCAATAAGTATTACCGTACTGCATAACAATTATTCTTGGAAAACCAAGTCACTAAAATTAGGAACATTCGAACCAAAGACCCTTCGGACAAACGGGCATTCGGACTAAAGATACTTGCCCAACTAAAATTGGGAACTTTGGACCAAAGACCATTCGGACTAACGGGCCTTCGGACCAAAGACCATTCGGACCAATGGGCCGTCGGACCAAAGACCCGTTGGTATCTCTTCCTTTTAATTTTTATTTTGAATTGTATATATCTGATCGTATTTTATCCTAATCTGAAATATTTTAATTATTTATTGAATGCTTTTTAATTTTTAACATAATTTACTTAACGTTTTAAATTACTGGGCACCACGTTTGTACAAGCTCTTTGAGCTTTTTATGGTTGTCTATTTCATCTTTTTTAAAATTATATTATGTATTTTATTGCTATTTTAACTTTTCTTTGATGATGAATAAATTGAATTGCATTGAATTGACCAAAGGTACGCACTTCAGTGACGAACGGAACAGGGGTAGCGCCATGATTTCCCCCACCCTCACTGGAGCTACCCTTTCATATGATTACATAACCAAGCCGTTCTCTCCCAAATTAAATTTAAGTCTTCCTACACAATCAAAGTCATTCATCGATAGATTCAAGATGTAGAATAACCTTTACAGTCTGTTTCTTGATGACCCTACAAATAAACAAGTTTTCTAACATCGTTTATATGTGCAAATTGACTTATTTTGGTTATTTTTCTGCCATTCTCGTGCGTTTTTGCTGCTAAGAAACCAAGGTTTTTTAAAACAAAGTACATACAGACAAAACCAAAAAAGCGCGTCAAAATACGCGCTGTTGTCGTTAAGGACTTTTTGTGTGATAAAGAATACAAAATTGCTTGACAACCAATACGCGCTCGTTTTGACGCGCTACTGTGATTTCACGAACTAACAC